CATAGTCTTTTCTAATGCTTGTTATAACTTCATCCTCCAGACCTTCAAGAAGCTGATCAGCCTGGGAAGGACAAGTTGGAAGTCATTGCACTCAATCAATTTTTATTAACATTCCTAAGGGTTTTTAAACAATATTTTAATCTCTGCACTGGAAATTATTGCTGAGAAGATCCTGTGAGAGTCACTTACCAAATCCTGGAAGACGAGCAGCACCACAGCTCCTGCAACCTCGATGACGAAGATAATCAGCACAATGCTGAAGAACTAATTGGGGAGGAAATGATAAATGATACTGTAAAACTCTCACTGTAAAACATTTGTCTGGTAGCAGCATTGTGTATCCATAAAGCCCAGAGCATTTAAGCAGATATTAAGATAGCTGAAAGGCAACAAACCTAAAGCTACATGCTAAAATATTTAACAGCTTCCTCTCAGAGCCAGCACATTCATACTAGGACTGAATGTGAAGGCATTCTTCGAGATTTCTCTGGTGAAATAAAGATCAAACATTTCAACATTTACAGTTACGAGAATTCACATTTAATAACCAAAAAGTCTCAGATATACAGGTAGCTCTCTGCCCTTTATTTCAAAATGAGGTTTATATCGCTTTGAGCAGACCTCAAACTACCACGAGAGAGAATTTAATTAAATCTTAAATCAGATAATTTAATTTAATTTAACTGGGGTCCATTATGTTTTAAGTAAAAAGGTCTCAAAGAGAATGTTTTCCATCTTCAAAATGAAAAGAGCAGATATGTTGTGTATAACTTCTTTCTATAAACTTTTCTACTTTTCTTTTTAATGAATCCCCTCAGTCCCATGGCAAACATGGCTCACCGTCAGCAGCATACACCGGCTCTCCTTGACAGCTCCGCAGCAGCCCAGGAAGCCAATGACCAACAGCACGCCACCCACTGCCATGAGCAGGTAGCTGACGTAGACCAGCTGGGACAACCCAGATGGAGCACCCTCCACATTATCCAGTAAACCCAGCAGAGAACCACTGTCCACTTTCACCCACACTCCCACTCCCAGGATGGCTGCACCTGCCACCTGCATGATGGGTGAGGAAAGGGTGGAGAAACAGGGGAAATCAGAGAGAGAATGCAAGGATGTGGCTTTAAAGCATGAAGAAATAACCTTATGATGAAATACTGAAAAGATACAGCACAGACAGGAGCGACACGCTAAAAGGAGTTGCAATTCTTTATAATCAGGCAAAAGCAATAGCAAAGAAACCGAAAAAACACTAAGTTGTACCATAACAGTACCATAGTCAGGAGTTTAGCCATGTTCTTTTGAAACAATACTTAAACATTTTTCAGATTGTGTTTATTCACTTGCCAAACATGAGATGAGAAGATTGATACCACCCTCATGTTTGTATGCAAATATGAACCTACAGCTAGCTGCTGTTAGCTTAGCTTAGCATAAAGACTGGAGGCAGGGCAAACAGCTAGCCTTGCTCTATCAAAAGGAACAAAGTGGTGGTTTTATAGTGGGCTCTGTAGCCTACATGGATTTATGAAGAGACCTGGATACAGCGTTGGAGGCAGGCCCCCGTTCATTCAAGTTGCTCAGTGGGACAATTTTCAGTTAAGCGCTCCGCTAACTTGATTTAATCATTACTTTGAAATGTTATCGGACCTAATGGTCCCAATAGTGAGACGAATGTTTTTGCGAGAGTTGTGACCCTCAAAAATGTATGGGGAAAAAGTCTTTTTGGCTCCCATTCATGGATGTATTAAGAGTCCTGGATACAGCGTTGGCAGCAGGGCTCTGTCAATTTCTGTTATACTTGCTCAGTGGTGCATGAAGCCAAAATTGCTCTATGTCCGCAGTATGAAATTACCCAGATGATCAGTGCTGCTACTGCATCATTGGGCCCATAGAGCAGGCGTACTAGAGACTTATGTCTGCTGAGATTGGCTGAGTGCAGCCAAGGGCGGCCGAGCAGCTGACTTCTGGTTAAGGGCTCCACTAAATTCAATGGCGATAAAATAATTAAATCTTGTGGCTCTTTTAGATTTACCAAATGTCATTGGACTGAATGGATAAAATTTTGATAGTGGAATGAATCATTTCGTGGGGGTTGTGACGCTTAAAAAAAGATGTCTCTTTCCCAATGTAAATCTATGGGATTAACTCTTTTTGGGCCCAATGGCATCAGGTGATGTACCCTGGAAATTGCAGTGCCACTGTTTGGCCACTACAAAAATTGGCTTCAAAGCCCAGTGTGCACCTCCTGGGTGCCTGGCGCCATTGCATCATGTGGGCAGCCCGGATATTGTAATTCTACATTCAGCCACTGTGTAAAATTGTCTTCAACACATGCCGCTGTTTCTGAGGGCTTGGTTATGTGCTGGGCTATTTCTTGTCTGGGTGTGATGACTTCCTGGAGTCTTGTTGGTTGCTAGACAACCAGTAGAGACTCTATTAGTGAGCTGTTAGTTAACTCTTGAGGTGCTGGATTTACCTTCAGACAGCCCTGAATAAAGGAAGTGCACAGCTGGTTTAGCTGCAAAGAAGCATTTTATACAAAGCCAACAGGAATAGCTTGCACCCTGTGATACATTATTATTTATGTGACCAGGCCAACATGAATAGAGCCAGACAGCAAAAGCAGAAAAATAAGTAGTTTTATATTTTCCAACTTACAAAGATGCCGCCATTGAAGATAAACATCATAATTTTGAGAAAGCTGGAGCAACACATCTTGGCTTTTTTTTCTTCTCTTCACACTGTTAAAAAAAGGAGAACAAAACAGCTTGTTAGTTGAGCTGATATCTAAATGTTCATATAATTGGTAATACTTCCTCATTATCTCTTAGGGGATTTTAGTTAAGCCCAACTTTGCATTTTACCTTACATGGAGGAAAATCAATGTTATGAGGATGGATTACAACACAAGTGAGCACCAACATGGGTCAGATGGCATTTGCTTTGGTTAAACATTAACCACAGTAACTGGCAGGAAAACAGAAGGGGTCTCAATCGCCTCTAAATGTGGCAAGATTTTCATGCTGATGTCATCCACAGTTTCAGTTAATGTGTGAGATAAAGTGCTTGTTTATATCCACACTTTATTTTGCCTTGCCTGCAAGTTATGTTAAGGACTACAAAGCACACATTTGAGTCACATGGCACATTTGTGGGTTTCATCTTTGAACACATGTCGCCATCTGGTACAGAGAGAGAAAATTCACTTCCTCACAGCTCTGAACTTTTGTACTCTTCATTGTAAAACTGTGCAAGAAGTTTTATAGTTTTGCTGCACTTTCCATCAATTTTACCATCAAATTGTGACCCATATCTACATCAGTTAAGACTACAACAGTCTTTTTCTTCACTCTTAAATGTCTTCACAACTTGAAATGCAGTATGCCATAAAATTCATGTTCTACATGTTTTAAAGGTGCCATGTAAGTAGGTCATAATAGGGCTGCAGTTAATCACTTGTCCTTGGATGTGTTTGTCATTAGTGGTAAAGTTGAGGTATCTTATCAGTTTATTGGTAGTCCCACAGAAAGCAGCCCAGAAGAGCCATAAAACACACAAACACCCTTATCCCTAATCTTGCACAACTTCTCTCTCTGTATCAGAGAAATGAGCTCACTTTTATAGTTACCGTTCATTTAGCATCTCTTCCTTATTGCAGCTTTGACTGTAATATTTAGCAGGAAACTTGGCACCTGTTACCTTGTTTATAAGAGGCAATAAAATGCTTGCCCAGCACCAGCACAATCACATGTTGTTTATTTGGATACATTTTATGGAAGCCCTGAGGCCGCAAAACAGGACAAATAATTTTTAACACAACCTAAAAAGTCTGAGAACATTTTAAGTTTCCTACATCAGCTCTGTTACTAGAAATGTAACAGCTGAAGTAGCTAGTTTCCTCTGCTGTGTAGAGTTCTTTGGTTTTATACATAGTGTTTAAGAGGACTCAGTTGGTTGAGACTTGGCTTATTCAGTCTTATGGTCATTATAGTAAAGTTTAATTATTACAAGTAAACCTACTCAAATATGAAAATAACTTTAACCAAATTAAAACTACTTAGTCTACTTAGACATGAGCAATAGACATCAGGTAACAAAGTACCTTGCTTTGGGAGGTAAACCTTTGATTACAAGAGAAATATGAGAACATCAGTTATCATAGTACATCACCATACATCACCCTTTTGTTTCATTATCTTTATGGCAGGTAAAGGAAAAGTTCTCTAAGGCAAAAACACACCAGATCACATCATATGTTAATTCATGATAATGTGTTTTTAGGTGGTTTTATATTCAAAATAAACATTTCTCGTTGTTGATCATACAATTGGAAAATATTTTAACTAAAAATATGAAAAAGCATGGAGCACATACCTGTGCTGTTCTGTTCTGTCCGTCTGTCCGCTGAGGTCTGATCAGTCAGGAGTGTCTGCTCAACAACGCTTTCACAGGCCCCTTTATCTTCTCGCAGGTTTCACTCACACTCTCACACACTCTCACGCTCACGCACACACACACACACACACACACACACACACACAGATAGGGAAAGAGAGTTCATGCCCCACACGTCACCGACTTTGCTTTCGGGTAAGCGACATTTCCTGCTGACCAAAGTCCCTCTCCAAAATAGAGCAGAAACTTTATGACTAGAAACTTTATGATCAATTCATTCTTAAAATAATCATATTGAACTTCATTAATGATTTCTTAAATTTGACACATAACTCATAACACCATTTCAAAAAGAGGAATTAAATAATTTAATGTTGGAAATGAACACAAACTTGATGAATGTTTCATTTTCTAATGAATGGAAAAACACTTTGGGGATGAAATGTATGACATGATTGATTTCCTTGTATAATGACTAATTACTAATGTCAACACTGCCTGAAAACTTGAAGAGAACTAACAAACTTTTCCTATTATTTCTAAGTGTTTAATACAGAAAAACAACATGTAATTACTTCAAATGAAAGCCATCAGACATAATGTATAGATCCACATCTTTTAATCTCAACTTTTAGAGACACATTAACCTGGCAAAGGAAATAACTAGCATTAACCACTGAAGGTACGAACAGAAAATAAAAACAGAAAAATATAAATTAAAGCAAATGAGAACATCCCTCAGTAATAACAAGTCTGGACTGGGCACATAGACTTGGAATGACACAGCACCTTTCAGGTATGTTTGACTTCAACCTTCAGGTATGTTTGACTTTGTACATAACAGTTAGTGAGCCTTCTTCCTCAGCAGGATCAGAAGTTCACAGGATACACAGTGTGCGGTAATGAGTCACAGTGATGTATTTTCATGCAACACCCACAAGGGGGCAGCATGACAAAAGTAAATCACAGTGATCTCCATGCCGTGCTGAATTTTGGCTTTTGCCTTTCATTCACATCCTCACCTGCAACAGGTGCTGTTCACCCACTGTGCAGAGGTGTCGGACAAAAGGCACAGCTGCTCAATGCAGCTCTTTGGCATCTCAGTGTAACAGTCACATTTGAATCACGATGAAGCTGGACTTGTCACCAAGTTGTGAAAAGATAAAATGAAAAAAAGGAGAGCAAGGCATCCATGATAGTGTTGAAGTAACATGAATAAGTACATTCACAATGATAGGTTTTTGACAATTCAGATAATCTGTGTGTGTGCGTGTGTATGTGTGACCATGAAACCCGCTTTCTATGAATTTCCACTGCCAACTATCAGCACGCACAGCCTCCCGGGCTGCTGCGGGGTGTCTCGTTCAGGCCTGCCTCCTTGTGATTGGCCGACAATGGACTGGCATCACCGTTGACGCTCTCGTTCATCTTCTCGCAGATGGCATCCACCAGTTTGTCAAAAACCTGCTTCACGTTGACGTTGTCTTTGGCACTGGCCTCAAAGAACTGGAAGCCTGGAGAGAGTGGAGAGAGACAGGACTGTGAGTGATTATTAATTAATGTTTGTCTTGTGGTTTCTTGCTGAGCATGCAATAAAAGTGTGTGTGTGTGTAATTGGGTGTGTGAGCTAACCAAGCTCTGTAGCCAGTCTTTGGGCATCTTCAGTGGGGACCTGCCTGTCCTCTTCCAAATCCAGCTTATTGCCTACCAGCACAACTTGAGCGTTGCCCCATGAGTACGTCTTGATCTGGGTTGCCCTGGGAAACACCAACACAGCATTCTCACAACTATGAAACTGTATGACCTCCAACACTGAGGCGACACTGAGGAAATTTATTGGTGTATGTATTTCTGACATTTAAAGTGTTCGTTGTTAATAACTGAGGTTTGTTTAAAGACAGCGGTGGAAAGCACATTTACTCAACTACTGCTGGTTAAGTATGGTTTTAAAGGTCTTGCACTTTACTTGAGTATTTCAATTTTATGCTACATTTTTCTCCACAACATTTCAGAGGGAAGTATTGCACTTGTTAGTCCACTACATTTATCTGAAAGGTAAAGTTACTAGTTACATTGTACATATATTTAGATACAAAACGCATCAACTTATAACTCCACCTCAGCCAGCTGTGACATTAAAATGCTGATTACTAGTTAATGCATTAGTAATAATATTCCAATAATAAGACGTATATAATCATGGGTGGATTACTGAATGGGCCTACCGGGCAGAGGCCTGGGGGCCGAAAGTGTCAGGGCCCTTCATGACCTTCATTTGCAAGATGTCACATGCCAAATCAACACATACAAATAGACACAAAGCCACAAAAAGATGCAAAATGACTACAAAGTTTGTGTGTCTACCTCCTATGTAGGGGAGGTGGTGGGGCCCCTTTGCATATCTGTGCCCAGGGGCCTACTGTCGAATAAAAAAACATTCTGAAAGTGGCCATTCTGCCTAATGAGTACTTTACCTTATGATACTTAAGTATGTTTTGCTGATAAAACGTTTGTACTTGGGTCATTTTGATGGCAGGGCTTATACTTGCATCAGAGTATTTTCAGAGTGGTATTTCTAATGTTACTTCAGTAAAAGATATGAATGCCTCTTCTACCACTGTTTTAAAAATGAAGTAATGTCTGTGCATAGGGATAAAAATAGAGCTGTGAGTTATAACAAAATCATGTTTATACATGTTTTCATTTGCTGCAGTTTAACCCCAAGACTTACTAATGCTACTACTGCTGTTATTTTGCAGGGTTTCCATGCGGCTATCCATAGCTTTTTATACTTAAGTAAATATTTCACAGAGACTGGAGTTAAATTGTCAGTTGTGTATATGAAAAACTTTGTTTCTGTGTCTATGATGATATGCTGCTTTTCTTTGCTGTATCCTACTACTGCAGCAATGCAACAAATTCCCTTCAAGTTTTGTTTTGTGTATCGAACACATAGCAAAAGGGCAGAGTGCCTCCAGGTCATGAAAAACTCCAAACAATCAAATGCCACGGGACAACACACACACACACACACACACACACACTTTACACATGCCTTCACCTGTTGAATAACACACACATACTGATATACACCTTGGTGAAATGGTAGGACATTACATCTACCCACCAGTCCTGAACAGCACAGAATGACTCCTGGCTTGTGATATCATACATCAACAGGAAGCCCATGGCTCCTCTGTAGTAAGCTGTGGTGATGGTCCGGTAGCGCTCCTGCCCTGCGGTGTCCTGTAAACACAAAACACAACTGTGAGATTCTGGGTCTTCAGTCTCAAGGGGGGAGTGAGGGGGTGGCTGATGTTGAAGGCTGGGTGACTGGCAGACAATATTCCAACACACAGAGAATAATCCTTAAAAACTAAACCCATTCCTTAAATGAAAATACAAAGAGAACCCCGAGGGAGGGAAACACATAGTAACTTTGTGAATCATTAACTCTCTTGGAACAGAAGCTAATCTCTCCCATCATGTGTTGATGTTGCCACACCCTGTAAATACACCAGGATCTGCTCTCTGTGTCTTTGCTGTGCCTTTAGGAACAAATATGAGTTCTACAGAGGTCATTTGTCTTCTTTATGCTCTTGTTTGGTTGCAGCAAAACAAATGATAACTCTAATGCAGATATGTTAAAACTAGAAATAAGAAATAAGACTTTAACTCTTTAATCTTATAGGATCTAATGAACAGCCAGCAGCTGTCATGTACAATATTAAACCCATGCACTCTAAAGATGGAGGTTTTTACAGTAGCCTATATGTCACAGAGACCATACTGTGGGAGTCACAGCATGAGATGTTACCACCATCTTAAAGCCCTTTATGCCCAACACTGGTGCAGAGTTTTACAATGAGTTGAGCTTGTTTTAATGCCCCCATGAAACCCATTCAAACCCATTCAAGTTGCTCACCAGCCAATAACATTTTACTTGGCACCTTCCCCGTGTAAAAGTATGCAACTGTATCATTGTTAAGCAGAGCAGAGAGGGCCCTCTCTGCTGAATACATTAAGCTAAAAGAAAAAAAAAAAAAGATGTATTACTTTCATCTAACAGGAGTACTGCGGGTGAGTCCTCGCCTTCCACTAACATTCAGTAATAGATCTGTCCTGGGTGTCAGTCTGCGCAGTAAGCACATTCAGCTCCGGCAGCTCAAACCCATGCATCTTTCATGAACCCTGCCGTCTGGGGACGATGTTAAACATCAACTGTCATTAACTCCGGAGTGTGAGAAATTAGTTTACGCCACATCCGTGACAGGCACCGCGTGTAAGAGGGCAAACTAGGGAACAGGGTGAGGATAAACAGTCTGTGTTGTGCAACAACGCTTTCAAAAGCACTATTCACTCTGCAATACTTTGAGGCTGTATTTTAGAACCTCTCAACCCCAGGTAACTGCCGTTAATTACCTCAAGTAAATTACAGCTCTGACATTAAAGAGACTGCAGCGTTTTATACTCAATTTTGCTGATATAGTGTCTGTCGAGGCTGTTTGCTCTGTACAGTGTCATTTTGTATTTGCTGTGGGGAATGAAAATGCTTTCTGAGCATTCTCCTGGAAATTATTAGGAGCTCTATAGACCTTAATGATGTGAGTGTCACAGCTCTTTCTAAACTGATGCCTCTGCTGCCAGCTAACTACACTCTTAATCCTATTAACTAACGTAATTAGGGAAATTTCTGCTCTTCGCAGTCTTGTTTTTGTCAAAAGGCAGAAAACGCAGAGACATTTGGTTCTTTTCTTTATCCTCATAGAACTGAATAATAATCAGTGTGTTGGGTTTTGGAGTTTGATACCCTACTGTCTCATTTACTTCCACAATACTTGGGCACCATTGTGAGATAATAATTCTATGATTCATTACAGTTGAGTGAAATCCTGATTGGGTCAATTTGGGCCATTTGACCAATGAAGGATGTTGTTCCTTCCTTAACACTTTTACGTGACAACATCTGTAAAATCTGCAAAGTACTTAGATTTCTTTTGCACATTTTCATTCATTTGGTGTTGAATTATATTTGTGTTAAATTAGTTTTGTTAAAGACCTTTATATAAATGAAAAAAAATCCCTTATAATGAATGGGAAAGGTACCATTCTGTACCAACCCACTTGGAAACAATTAAATAAATCTGGGTTTAAATGGACATTTTTCATACATCATGGTTTCTACATGTGTGTTGTTTCAATTCTGCAAACATTACAATTCCAGTAAAAGTCTGCAGCGACATAAATTAAGTCATATCGACAGTCAGGATTTGCAACATATTTGATGCAAAAATATTAGTTTTGTCACTCACTGTCAGTGACCCACATCACTCCTAAAGTGTATGTTTGCAAATATATGACTTTCTTACTCTAGAACTAGCCGCGGGCTAACTGCTAAAGGTGCAGAAATGTAAATTAGCTTAGGAGTATATAAACCAAAGGCCATACAAGGTGACTAATTATAACTTTCCCAGGCAGTCCGCTATTTCTGGTGTCAGTTTTAAAAACAAAGCAACTGCCGTAAGTAGCGTCACATAAAAAATATCACAATCAAAGTGGTAAAGAAAGACGACAGACATTAGGTTTTTACACACAGCACTCTAAAGTTTTTATGTGCCAGATTAATTAGAGTTAAATCTAGTCGAACTGTTACACAGTCTGCCAGCTTTTACTTCTCTACCTCTGCACTGAGTAAACATCTATCAGTTTGTACTGGCCTTATCCGCCAGACTTCCACCCTTTCTTCCTGCTGCAGAGGAGAAACCAGACTATGTGCATGTGACGACGGTAAACAGTTTGAAAGCAGGAAGGTGAAAGAAAGTGAAGGATTTTTTAATTAGCTTTGCTTTGAGATTCTTTTTCATGCCAAAATAATCTGCCATGCTTTAAACTACAATTAACTGAGAGTGCCACATAGCTTTGTCTATAAAGTATCACTTTAGAGCTCTTCAAGAGTGGAAACAAACCTTTAAAGTGTAGGTGCTTTCATAAAACCTTTACATCTAACATTATTCTAACTTTTGGCACGTGGGAGCGTTACTGTACATCACTTAAGTTTCAGAATAATAATGTCATTTGACAGTGTTACAAATAACTTATGTTTACGGCTATCTTTCTTTTCTTTCTGCTGCAATATGCCATCTCTTTTAGTTTTCTCTTTTCAGCTCTTAGTTAGTCCATGGAAAGAAAATATCTATAAAAAGTACAAATGTGAAAAGCTCTACACCTAATTTTTCACCTTTATTAAAGGCATTCGGAACACAGTGTAAATTCAATACATCTTTAAAACATACTTGTTTGTGTTATATTTCCCCATATTACATCTCACACCAGCATGAAAACTGTACATGAATTATTTTTTAGCATATTTCAAAGATCAATGTGTATTCTTACCCAGATCTGAAGTTTGACCCTCTTGTCGTTCCTGTAGATGGTCTTCACTTTGAAGTCGATGCCCACTGTGCTAACAAAGGCTGAAGTGAAGGAGTCATCGGCAAACCGGAATAGGAAGGATGTCTTTCCCACGCTGCTGTTGCCGATGATCAGCAGCTTAAACATGTAGTCAAAGTTTTGGTCGGCTGCATCCCTCTGCTCCGGGCCCGCCCCTGGATCTCTGGCTAGTGCCATCTATCAAATGAAGGAGGACAAGAGGAGAGGGATGATCTGTCAGACTGCGAAACTCTTTTAGAAACTAGAATTACCACCTTGCGGTTGTATGGCTCTGCACACCAGTTAGGTTACAGTTACAGTCACAGTTTACATCCATGTCTGTTCACACTCATATGTAGCAATAACCGTTGATAATGCTTCAAATATGGATGTTGCACCCAAGATTAGTGCCACCAATTAAGTATCAGACCAAATGTCTCCCCTTCTGACCTGACGTAAAATAATGGCAAGTGTTTCTGCAGAATACTGTGATGTCACAGTGAATTTGACCTTTGGGAGATAAAATGTCATCACTTCATCATTTGTGCTATTAGACATTTGTGTGACAGTTTGCCATAATTAGTGTATGAATTATTGAGTTATGGCCAAAAATATGTTCTGAGGTCCCATGGACCTTGACTTCTGACAACCAAACTCTTATTAGTTCATCGTTGAGTCCATTGGGATGTTTGTGCCAAATTTCAAGAAACTCACTCCAGGCATTCTTCAGATATACCATTCACAAGAATGGGATGGACAGACAACAGGAAAACATATGCCTCTTTTCTTTTGCCTCATGAGATTGTCAATTAAATATCTTTGGATGCTGGACAACAGTCAGAGAAAGCAGGCACTTTGATGACATGAACTCAGGCTTTTGGATATTGTGATGGGAATTTTTCACAAAATTTCTGATATTTCATAGACAAAGTGGTCAATCAAATGATCAAGACAATAATCTGCAGATAAATTGATGAGAAAAAATCTTTTGTCGCATCCCTAATAGAAAATATGAATCCAATAAAGAGTTGAAAGGCCCAACAAAAGATGGCTATGATGGAGAAATCAGACAAAAGATCCACACACTGTCATGACAGTTTCCAATGCATTTATTCATTCCAGCAATGATTTGATCCAACAGAGTTTTTTTATCAAGGAAGTCTATGTAATGTACTGCTGCAACTAACAATTATCTTTATTGCTGATTATTTTCATGATACATCATTTAATCTATAAAATGTCAAAAAAGTGAAAAATAGTCATCACAATTTCTCAGAGCCCAAAGTGGAGTCTTTAAGTTGCTTCTTTGGTCCAACCAACAGTCCAAAACCCAAAGACTCTTCATTTTCTATTATAAATGACAAAGAAAATCAGCAAATCTTCATATTTAAGAAGCTGGAATGAGCAAATGTTTGACATTTTTGCTTAAAAACAGGACTGAAACAAGCTGCAACAACTGGGGCTAAAAATGAAGCCAACATGTTAAGTGCCAAAAACTGCAGTTCCTGTAATGGCCACTTGAGGCTGGCTCCAGAAGCCAGTCAGTACCCGCAGATTTGTTTATAACTCAGCCTTTTACATTTCATTAAGGCTTAAAGTTACGCATAATTAACGCATAATTAAAGTTACGCATAACCACAATGCAACAGCACCTGCCTCTCGCCCAAATACAGTCACTTCTGGCTCCAAAATCCCATGATGGGAACGGCCGAAATGCCAAACTCCAGGCTTCAAAAGGAGAATCCACAAACCAATGGGTGACATCACGGTAACTATGTCCATTATTTTAACAGTCTATGGACTGAAATAATTAATAATCAAAATAGTTGGCGATTAATTTCTTTCAATCGACTAATTGTTGCAGCTCTAATGAAATGAATACAGTGTTGTTACCTAAAGTGGTTATTAAGAACTAAATGCAATGTGGGAAATCACATCCATGGCAAACTATTAACAAATGTATGAATCTCATTAGTGAGGCAAATGTTAATTTTATTTAAATTGTTTAAGTGATGACAACTGAAAAAGTGAAGCAGAAATGGGATTAGTATTAGCTCTGGAAAAGTCCAGGGTTACCCCAGATTATTATAGAACTATAACTATTTGCAACATGCAACAAGTATGTCAACTATGTGTTTAGCTGATAAATCCCCTTTGCTGGTAAGATCATGCAGCTAATAAAACATCCTGGAGTTAGCATTTAACATGAGTAATGAGTATGATCGGCCCCAGCGCCCACCTCCCTGGCTGATACTGGCTTACTTAAAGACTGGGGGATGTCTGGGACAGTGATGTGGTCAGACAGTACTTGTGTGTTCGAATGTCAGGGTGAGGAATCTCAGCTATTTGAGAATTCACACTCACATGCCTGAAAGTCATTCGCACTAATAGCTGAGCAGATGTTGATGCTGGTAAATGGAAGTGCTGTTTTAAAAATGGTCTATCTTCCTCCCCACCCCTCATCCCTCCTAGCTCTCATCTCTGTGCTATGAATCACAACCAGGTCGTGCTCCCTCCACTGTTTCTCCCTCTATCAGTCACCCACACTGCTCGCTCTCTGTCCATTTGTCACACACACTCACACTGCAAAACTTATAGCATCAGTGGATGCTGAGCGGTGGGCGAGGATGGCAAAAGATTCCCCTCCCCTCCCTGTATATTTCATCCATCATCCATCGACCTGCTCACGCTCCCGTTTAAACACACACTAACACCCTCGCACGGCCATTTATCTTCCTTAACTCTCTTTCATTTTCATCCATCTATGCATCCCTCCTGTCATCATCCATCCGTATCTCCCCCCTCCCACCCAACACTCTCTCCTTCCTCCATCTTTCTGCATCACAAGGAGGCTGAACCATCCATTCATCCACACATCCTCCACACACCCTCCTCTTTCAGAGAGGCTGAGCTGAGTCCTGTACTCCTCCCTGATTGCTGAGATCACTCTGGAGACCAGCTCAGCTCTGGAGACCAGCTCAGCATTACCACTTCCAAGACCATAAAGCGGGACTGGCCTGCGTGCTGCTGCTGCTGCTGCTGCTGTACACACTCAGCAAAACACTAATATCAACGCATGCGCATACACGAGTGGGAAAAGACGTTCAAACTGCTGTGTGGAGGTTTATAACGCACTGTGCTTTAACTGAGACAGAGGAAAACTAGGTGTCTTGCGTAAAAGCAACTGCGTCATCATACAAAATATGACTTTACGGCAGATGTTGACGTCCAGTCTGAAGTAGTCAAAGAATGGAACTGGGGTGCGCACTTAGCAAAACCAGGCTGATGTTTGCATGAGGACACATGGGATCATGACACTTGTTGACACTTCAGACTCAGTGTAGTTATTCCCACACAGACCAGCCTGATATGCTCCAAACACAGATATAAAAGTTTTGTGAGATGTACGGTGACCCTGCACTAACAGTTAACGTAACGTTTACCTAATTTGCCTACACTGCCCCACCATACGGTAACGTTAGCTCAACTAACGTTACAAACTGATGCCATTAAAACAAACCCTCAGCCGTTACTGACAACTGTGTGAATGTTAACTTACCTTAGATGTTAGTTTATAAGTCTGTCTCCTCCGTCCTTCTCCACGGTCTGTCTCCTGCACCTGGAAGCCGATGGGCGTGCACTGCTGTCGGCCGCTCCAATTCCGCCGCTCCGCTCCCGGATCTCCAGGCTGTGCGTGTGCCTGTCACCGGGACACCCACCGTGTAAACGGCGTCAAGACAGCTGGGATATATACACGGTACTTCCGGTGATGACTTTCAAAATAAAATCTTAGTTTTTTTCAAATTTAAAAATGAAAACCATGTTTGACACCTATGCAAGTGCAAACTTATTGGAGTTATTTGTTTGAGTAACTTTGGAGCAAACTTTGCATTCTGCATGCATATTGCAATATTCAGCACTAAATAGTGGCTGATGCTTTTCATCCTCCTTTGAAATTTTGTTAAGTGTTGATACTACAGTGCAGTACCTTTTATGTATACTAGGCTATGATATCTCAGGGATAATTAATATATAGAGCTGTGACTAATAATCGTTTCCTTACCCATTAATATTACGATTTCTGAGTTGAATTGATTAAGAAAAAACATCCGAAAAGGACTCAACTTTGCAAAGATTTAAATACTTCACCTCTTCCTTTGTAATGCATCTCAACATGTATATAGACTTTATTGTAATATGCACATTTCTATTAATTTAGTCTTGAAACTTTGATAAAGTATTCCATCTTTTTTTTTTTTAATCTTTTCTTATGTATGATTATTGTCATATCATATGGGAGGTATCTTCATAAGCCATTTTGGCTTCTAACCTCTTTTGCACAATGTTCAAACTTTCAAATTCCCACTGTCTTTTTAACACACGTGTGTGCAAATCAACCTAACTAACTGTTGAGATTACAATTGTGAGAAACTAGTGAAAAACTCCAAGGCAACATCTTTAAATTGCTTCTTTTGACCAACCGTTTAAAACCCCCCAAAGATATTCAAATAAAATGACATAAAACAAAGGCATGCAGCAATGGTTTGCTTTCAAGTAGCTGGAAATGTCAAATGTTGGGCTTTTTTGCTTGATAAATTACTTTATAATTCATCAGTTACCAACATTGTTGCTGAAAAAAATCTGGAAATACACCAATTGATTAATTAACTATTTCTTTTTTAACGTAAGTAGTAAGGTACTATACTGACAGATTTTCCATGAGCCTTTGTCCTGTCAAACTTTTAATTTGAAGGTAAAATCACCACATTTCCTGTATTATTGGTTGGTAACTGATGCAGTTTCAATAGTAAACTTAAGGCAGCCCTGATGTAAACTGTTGAATGAATGGCGCACGCATTACGCACTAGAAACGCACCCAACCTCATGACCTCTCAGTTTAATCGGTCACTTTAATACCGTGGATGAAATAGAGCAGCTGATTTGTAAAGTCTAACATTCCCATTTAATACGCTAAACTTCAAGATGTAAATCGCTGAAATATTACAAGTCTTGAATCAGACAAACCCAAGCAGCCCTGGCCTTTATCGACAATCATTATCCTGACTGTGAGCAATGCAGTGGAGTCATGCACCAAGGCACAATAAGCATGTCCAAACCAGATCAGCTCTCCTCGGGTTTGCAAACCTCAAAAGATGGTATTCTGAATCATTGAGAAAACTGGCGTGTTTTTATGCTGTAAGGCCTTACTGTGAATTTGTGACAGGCTAAATCATGTTGGAGCAAGAGAAAAACTACAGCCTCGGGGCAGTGATGCAACAGACCTGCCAGAACAGCAGTGTGAAAGAGGGTTTTTATTGGTGCTTGGCAAACATCTTCCCTGAGACTGCAGTAGCATACCCTAAACTATACACTGGATTTTTTACAGACAGTGTAATTTAGAGTGCAGTTAGACACAAGGTGAACTGTGGAGGGGTTTGTAAATAAAGGAATTAAACTAATCCCTTTAGTTCCAAGGGAGAAAATGTATAATGGATTATTGATTACAAAATTACCACGATGAAAGAAGATTAATTTGATCACCTCGGTGGAAATCTTTAAAATAAAGCAATGGTATTTGCGTAGTGTCAACCTGTGACACAATATAACAAACATAAACTTGAATTTAAAGAATAAAGAAATATTCTTACCCAACACAAACAGAGGCATTCTCTTTAGAACTCAAACACATCTATGTTGTGGATATCATCTTCATCTTAGACCAGTGCCAAATAGTAAATGTAAGAAACCTGAATCAAACAGGAACTCTTAAATGCAAACTCAGCCTGGTAAATCAGACATGTTTTCTGGGACACATTTAAAATAAAACTGCCGTCAAACTTCCAGCATCTTGAACGATAACATTGTCACTTACAGTCCTTCACAGCCACAGCCAGAAGTAGCAGAATCAAAACTTGAGAAGAAACAAGATAATGTCTGACTGAACCGATTCATCATGCATACCTTCTACCTCAAAGGCTGGATGAGCTCTGACTCACTATTCATCCTGGCTAATCAGTCACTGATTCTGATGGTGATGTTGGCAGGTTTTTGGGCACTTGAGTGGAGGTATCGAGCTCGATCGTTTTGCCCCCACAACTTGTGGAACTCCTCCATGAAGGGTCGCACCAGGTCGGGCTCCTCGGTGATGAGGATATTCTCCATGTTGCTCTGCACTGCTGTCAGCGTCCAGTTGAGGGAGCCGGTGATGAGCAGCCTGCCGTCCACCACTGCAAACTTGTGATGCATGTAATCGGAGCCCACGTCGCACCGCACACAGATCCCTGGGAAGCAGAGTGTAGACAGGGAGGAGGGTTGAGAGTATTCTTCAGTGCCTTAGAGATGTATTGATCTTCTCCACTATCTGCTATGTAGTTCTGGGTTGTGCACAAAGGATATTAATGAAGCTGTGGAGATGCTGAATACTACATAAGGTGCTTTGTGTGAATACATAAAGCAGAAGTATGTCCTGCTCTTTGTTCCTTGGAGCTCCTCTACGATTGAAACACCAGTAGAAGAGTTTTTAAATGGACTGTGCTCACCTGACCTGACCTGACCTGTGAGCTGTAACACAGAAGGGTAATATATATACATCTAAACCTCAGCACTTTCACTACATCGACTATTCAACACTATCCACTGCATCATTACATCAAAAGCTTACAACACTCAGGACTTGACATTTAAGGTCATATGAATGTTTTCATCCTCTCCATAAAATCACAAGACACTTATTCTTTTTCCCTCATCCAGACTGAGCAGGAAAAAAATGTTTGGATAGAGAAACCGGAGACGGAGCTATCAAATTTGAAAAACAACTTCAAACATAGGCCTTTATATTTAATTCACATGTGTGCTAATTATGATTACTTACTTATCACTTGCTATCAGTTTCCGAAACACCAAAAGTTCTGCATGTCCTGTTACAGTACTTCTGAGTTTTAGTACCATAGAAATAGAATGAGAGTAGAGCAGACATGATATTAAATCCAACGTGGCTGGATGGTTAGAGCGGCGGCCAATTTTGTATGCACTGTTGCCACTGCAACCATTGTAGCAGGCTAACCTCTGTATAAACAAGCTGATTTGAGGCAAGTTGCAAATTTACTGAGGTGAAATTTTGCAGTAACAACCCAAACCAGAGCTGGTGACTGTGGGAATGGTCGAGTGACTACCTTAATGACTAACAAGACTAACTAAGACAGTTTTGGTGAATTTTATTTAGTTTCTATTGAATTTGAATGAAGCCTGTTTTATGATGAATTAACAAGGCAATTAAGCTAATGTTTGTCTCAGTTCGGTTGGTGTACGGCTATATTTTTCTGGTTAATAGAGAAAATAGGTGTAAGAATAGGCCAAAACAGCCTTCTCAAACTATTGGGTGTGGTACACATTATGGCCCCACTGACATGTGCTGTCACCATAACAACTAAAGATAAATTGCTAGTTTCCTTTGTGTTAATCAAATGGCCAAAGGACACGGTTCAATGTCCTTTCTACTCTCATTCTATCTCTAAGATTGCTACTAAAAATTAACATTAAAAATATCTGTAGTAGCTATTTCACATAAACCAATCGTGCATTAAATCAAAAATAATAATACTGATTCTAATAAGGAATATAGTATGAAGACTAAATGCTTTTTAAATCTGTTGTACAGAAACTGCTTCTCTTCAGTTGTGTAGAATGGAAACTAACTTAGACAGAAGCAGTACTTTGGTAGAGTTTTTGATTTCACTTTGCATCACCCTGGTGGCCAGTAATTTTTTGATAGAGATTAGACATGCAAATTCTCTCTTGAAAGGGTAAGTGCATGCCACTTTAAAGGAAATGAAAAACAATTATAAGAAATGTGTTTTTAAGAGTCCATTTCTCCACCAGGAAACATGTCCCCTTGACCCCTCCAAAATGCTCTGTGTAAATGCCTTTTTGGCTTTTAAGAATATTTTCAGATGAAAGTGAAAAGAGCCAGAAACGACGGGAAAGAGTAAACACAACTGGCAATTAAAGTTTGATGTCTTTCCAGTTTTGACCCCAGGACACGGACAGTCCAGAAGATGTCCCTTTCAGATAATTTCAGCCTGCCCTTTCAGAGCTGTGCGCATCAGTTAATATTTCCCTCCTGAGGAAAATGTTTGGACTACCCAAGCCAGTGACAGCAAACTAATCCAAAGCACTGTGCTTAGGTGCCAGGCAGACACATTCAGTTACTTGAAGATAAAAAGGTTTATGCAGACAAAACAGATACAGTATGAAAAGAGGACTTGATTTTCCCTTTCGCCAAAGTGGTTCTCACAAGGTTTGCAGTCAACACACACAAACACTCAGAAACACTTTGCCTAATGAAATTTGCTGTCTCGTCGCCAATTTCTTACTTACTTAATTCTTACTTAACAATATACAGTGGCAGTAATTTATTGAATGCAGAGTGCTGAGAGAGAAAGTGAGACATTGTGAGTCTGACACATGACACAAAATCTTTCAGAGCTTTCAGAGTGTGATTACTCTGACTCATGGAAGGGCTTGTAGTGGAAACCTTCATTTACCTGGACAGTTCCTCTCATCTCTCTATTCACCACTAAGGGGCCCCTGTGGGACTTACTGACAATGACACTGATAGTCCGAGAACACAGAGGGAGCGCCTTTTATTGAGTAAGACCAGAGTCATCCTTCCCGTATTTCAAGTGAATTTTGTCCAAAAAATGATCCCACAGAGGTCAGTGTGACCTTTGTGACAAATAATATTTCTAGGAGGGCTAAATATGACTCCCCAGGCCTGTGTTTATCAATTGTTTTGGCACTGTGCTTCATCACAATGACTTTGATTGATTGATTGATTGATTGATTGATTTCTGAAAGACAATAAGACAGTAATCCAAAGGATGACATGCTAAAGTAAAATACTTATTTCCAGCATGCTCCTTGGTGTTTACACATAAGAAACAAATAAACAAGAAGCAGACAAACTCAGACTGTTACAGTTACACAGCATGAAGACATATACTTCACAATGATTTAAAATTAAACAGGTCTGTTTCTCTTACCAGCCTTGCGGAGGACACCTATCTGGGAGCCAGAGATGGCAGCGTATTGCTTGTCAGTGAGGACTCGGATGGTGACTCCTCCGCTATGCAGCACCAGCACAGCCCTGCACAGGTCCATGTTGGAGAAGGCAAAGATACACAAGTCCAAAGAGGAGGAAGCAGACAGGATGTGGCGAAGAAGACGGGAGAAAGAGGTCTCTATGCCATGAGGCAACGGGCAGCAACAAGACCTGGAAGACCCGAAAACAAGAGAAAATAAGGTTGTGCCTACTTATTGTATCATCTGCTGATCTTCCATAGGGTATGCTAAATATCCTATATGCTTTTTTTCCCAGTTTATATACTACACTTCCTACCTAAGTCATATACTTCTTCCCCAAATTGTCCAGAATGTGAGAAAAACAACTGTCAGGTTACAATAGCTCTATTTAGCAAGAAAAGAAGAACAGTTTTCAAGCTGGCAAAAAATGCAATTACTTGCAAATGCAGATAGATCATACTTTTGTTTAAATTTGGTTTTCTAGATCTAATTCTTTGTGGGGAAATGTATTCAGCAGGTAAAATAATAGTCCTATAAAGAGAAAAACGATTGGGATGATGAATGGCAATCGCACGGACTAAATCCACTTACTGAAAGCATCTAGGGGCTATGAATTTTTGCAATAGTGGCCATTATCACAACACTTGACAGTGATAGAGTGTAAATCATATATAGCTTCCTTTTATTCAATTCAGAGATTAAGTTCCACCTACTGAGGCAACGAGGGAGAGAAGATATGCTCCACACAGGCCATCTCTGAGGGAAAGAAGAGGACCTCATTGAGGGTTCTTCCAGGTCTGAGGCGACGGACGAGCCAGCAAAGCAGCTCCACACTGAGAGAGAGGGCCACCGCACCCAGGCCGACCACCTTCACCGTCCACATCACTGACATTTACTACATAGCAAATCAGTGTTTAAGGAACCTAACATATCGTAAAAATGCAACGTTTCTAAAATTTGTATGATCATAAAATGTTTTTGCAATCTTGTCTTAAATGATTTTAGACATTTTCATGCAGGTATCAAACAGTAAATTATGATTATACCATCTGTTTTGCATATGTGTTTTGCAGTGCTGAAGCAAATTGACCAATCCATTAGTCTGTGTATTGTGTTGTAGTCTGTATCAGGATGCTGCTTTGGGAAATCATAATGGGCATCAAACACAGTTTTCTGACATTTTATAGGAAAAAAATGAAAAACCAAATCAAGAAAATAATCAGCAGATTAGTCGATGATGAAAAATAATTGGAACTGTACAGTCATGTGTATCAAAGACAGAACATGAAGTATTCACTTTCTTTAGTGGTATTTAGTTAGTCAAAGGAGAAGTACTCATACCATTCACTTAAGTAAAAGTACTAATACTACTCAGTAAAAACACTCTGTTAAATATTAAAGTCCTACACTCAATATTTCACTTACATAAAAGTACAAAAGTATTAGCAAAATGCACCTAAACTATTAAGGTCAAAGCATGCGTTGGGCAGAATGGTCATCCCTTTCAGTTTCATTTAATTTACATATATGTATATACAGTCAAAACATTTAAAACTGCTGGCTAGAGAAACGATTAATGTTAGCACTGTTGCCCACAAAAAGGCCTGGCCCCCCTCTGCGCTCAGCAAGACAATGCACCATGCCACACCGCAAAGACTGCTCATGAATGGCCAGAGGAATATGACAAAGAGCTAAAGGCCTTGATATGGCCTCCAAACTCCCCAGATCCCAATCTGATCAAACATTCTTGGGGTATGACAGTATCCCAGAGGTATCCCCCAATCCACAATGGGGCTGTGTTTGATCAGACTTGGCCCTGACCTGTCGAGACAAGGACACAGGAGCTCTGGGGGTCACCTGTGGAGTCTGGCACCAGGATGTTGGCAGCAAATCCTCTAAGTCCCATGGGTTTTGAGGTCTGGTACCAGCACGATCAGTTTGGGATCTGGGGAATCTGAAGGCCATATCAAGGCCTTGAGCTTTTTGTCACATTCCACAGGCCATTGCTGAGAAGGTTTTTGAAGTGTGGCATGGCACATTGTGTTCTTGGGGGGGGGGGGGGGCACTGCCACTAGGGAGTGCAGTTGCCATGAGGGGATGTGCTTGGTCTGCAACAGTGTGTGGGTGGGTGAAGCACCTATACACAATCTGTGCCCAAGGTTTCCCATGAGAACATTGCATTGTGATGAAATGATCAATGATGGTTTCAATGTTGTGGCTGATCAGTATATTTGTAAAGTAACAAGTAATTCTAGCTCTAAGATAAAAGGGGTTAGAGCAAAAAGCACAATATTTGCCTCTGTATGTAGTGGATTAGAAGTATAAAATACCACAAAATGTAAATATTCAAGTAGAGAAAAAGTACCTCAAAACTTAGAGTACTTTTCATTGCTGTATCCAATGTATTGGTTTAACTAGAGCTGAGCAAAACAGCTGTTTAATGAAAATAACTCATTTTATCTAAACTAACATTGAGCCAGCTGTGTTGCTCAGCACTAAACCATGCAATGAATACAGTAGTGGAGTAAAGCACTGTAGTGTTGAGGTCCTTCAGGGAGAAGAATCCATCCTCAGTTGCTCTTCATAATGTTTCTTACAAAGGACGTCCATTTTGTACAGATTGTAAGATCCTTTAGGCAAATAAGTGATTTATGGAATTGAAATAAATTAAATTGACCTGTTACTTTTACTGAGTATTCCAATGTTATACTACTTTATATTTACACTCCATTTCTTTCAAATGTTGTACTTTTTACTCCACTAGCTATATTTATCCGACGGCAAAACCAGTGTTTTCTTGCGGGACAAGGACATTGATGACAAGGTGTTGTAAGTTGTCATACCATATCAACACCAAACACTGAGCAGCGAAGATAAACTACGTCACAAACGCCATTTAAACCAAGCTAACTGCCAGGCTGTACAAAGAGTCAACAACCTAACATTTTCCAAAAATGTCGGGGGAATGTCAAAACATTTAAAAAGAGTATTTTTAGACAACACACCTAACCTGAGAGTTAGCTTCTGTCGCCACCACGCGGGAATAGGCTGTGTCAGACGCTGTTACGCCACTGCCAATCAACTTAACTGACATTTCAGAGAGCCAATGAGTGACCGCGAAGCAGACGCTCTCCTCCAATCATATAACGCGAACAGTTCCCGGTGCCGGGTCTACACGGAAGCCTGTTCCTCTTTACAGCAACGTGTATTTTTCACCAGAAAAGGTAAACAGGATTAAACTTCTACTAGATAACACTTTACTGTCACGACACGTGTAATTACTACGGTAACTCGAGGCATAATAAAAGATGTTTTCTTCCCACAGTCCATTTAACTCGTCTTTTCATCGTGACGCTACTTATGTTGTACTGGAGATCAACAACAAACATGCTAACGATAGCCTGCTAACTTTAGGTGCTAACAGTATGGAGAACTGAGTTGTTTTACGTGCCAGTATTTCTCACATATTCCCTCTTCGGTGGTATTCACCCGTCCAATATGTTCTTCTTGTTGAAGCCGCCTGTCTTTTGTCTCTTTCTCACACAGGCTTCATTCAGTTGGTGCGCAATGGGTCGCCGCAAGTCCAAAAGAAAGCCCCCTCCTAAGAAGAAAATGACAGGAGATCTGGAGTCTCAGTTCACCTGTCCGTTCTGCAACCACGAGAAGTCGTGTGATGTCAAAATGTACTTTGAATTTCACCAAATCTCAAGTTAACTGCTTTAACAATGATTCATTGATGTATGAGGAAATTGTTGCCAACTTTTTTTGTTCTTCTTTTGCTTTTTCTGTCAACAGGGAGAGAAGCAGAAATACTGGGATAATATCTTGCACAGTCTGCTTGGAGGAGTTCCAGACCCCCATCACCTGTATCCTTATTTACACATCACAACTTTCTCCTTCTCACACTGTAACAAAACTAATAATAACATTACTGCAGAACAGTTCAGACACGTTGTAAATTGAATAATAACTTTGAATTATTTTATTAACTTTTGGTGTGATAGTGTTTTCTTGGCCTTGACAAACAAAATGTAAAACATCCACTTAATAGTTCTTTTAAAAGGCACTCCAACTGAGATCTCAGGTGGCGATCAAGTTGTTAGTCTTAGTTGGATCTAAGTTGTCATGGAGGTGGCTCAGATTACATCTACACCAAGCTGTCTTATTTGTAAAAAGCTGTTTTTGTGTAAAAATGATTTGCGTCCACACTGTCTTTTCCAGTATCATAATGATCTCTACCCAGTTAAACACCTGAACAATAGAAAATCAGCTAAATCTTTTGTTGGTCTTATTTTTAGTTTGCAAACACCAAAAATGCACGTTACAGCTAACATCTGGTAAGGAGTAGGACTGGTGAATCCTGGCTGACCAAATCATTATTTTATGATTTTGACATCAGAAAAAATGATCATAAATACATGTTAATGACTGCCACACAGCCAGTTGTGACTGGGCAGGCCACAGACCCAGTTACTCTCTAAGTGTCATCCAGTTACATCCCCTTTCAGTCCCCTGCTCTCTGTAATCTCATAGACTGTTTAAATACACCTGAATTCAATATTTAATTGTAATTATGTACATATTTTAGTGCTTATCTTGTCTGACAGTTAAACAAGTAAAAAATCATGAATTTTATCGCAGTTCATAAAGACTACCTGTTCACCAGAGTCAATTGCAAGCTATGGTGCTGACAAAATTGTATGATCACAGCATCGACTAACATAAATACCACAAATTATTGACCGCAGCTTTGCTCAATGTTAGGTCTCAGACAAGATTACAGGTGATTGACAGTTACTGCCGCACAGCCCCTGACCATCACTGGCAGGCTTATGTCATCATTTGGCATAGCTCAGTTTTTCCCCTGCACATACTGAAGCATCAAGCCTGTACCTTTTTTCAAAACACTCTGGAGACTGTTTTGAAAATGCAGAGTTTTTGGGTGAGGGAAAACTTGACGCAGGACTGTAACTAGGAGATAAATACGCATATTGAAATATAACTGGCTTAATGTGGAAGTACTTTATTGACATCACATGGCTGGGAAGGTCTTTGGTGTTTGATGTAAATGGCCTCCTTGATCTTTCTCCAGTGGTCCACTGACTGCTGGTCAGTGCTGTGATGGGTTTTGGCCTGGTGGTTACAGACAGTTGATGTCTGTTTCTAGAGCTCATTCAGTTTCTTACCAAGGGGCCTTGATAAGCGTTCAGCTGTGTAACCCTGCAGTACCTTGGCTGAAGAAATATCAAGGAGACTTGGCCCCTCCTCGCTACACTGCTTGTACACTGCAAGCTACTGTACTATTGTAGGAACACAAAATTTATTATGATGGAAAAGCTGATACTTTAGCCAGCCACAGTGAAAGTGTAAACCAGCCCCAGATTCACTTTGGAACGAGCCTGTCTCCTTGGTGTTTCACCATGTGGTATTTGCGGTATTTTTTGATTGTTAAATTTATTTTGGCGCTGTGTCCATGATTTTTGTGCTTCTACTATCTGGTTGCTACCCTTTTATAAAGTCCAGACCTCACTTGCATGCTGTTATTGGCTAGGGGCTACACACCACTGGCCAAAGGTTACGGCTCAGGAACGTCCCAAACAGCAAAATAATAAGAAAATGAGAAAATAGACACAGGGGGCAGAGTCTAATAAATACACTGCCACACTGCTAAGGGGTCATGGGTGATGATTAAGAGGGATTACTTTTGTAAGAGTCTATATATTGTTTTTAAGGACAATCCTGCACAGTATACCTTCAGACAGCAATATTCCTTTTATCTTTAACCCATTGCTCTTCAGATTTGTCAGAGCCGGTTGACGTGTACAGTGACTGGATAGATGCCTGTGAAGCAGCCAATCAGTAGCCCTTGTGAAGCTGGACGTCTTTCAGGAAGAGGATGAGAATGTGGCTGATGGACCTGGGCCCATTAGGATCAAGCTGGTCAGAGGACGTTCATGAAACTTTAATATTTGACAGGCTTCCATATGGTCACTTGAGATTTGCAGCTATGTGAACAGCAGTTTGACCTATGTGGTCCTCAGGCACAAAGTGGCTCTGAAGGGTTCCTGTTGTCTTCAGGCTTCTTTTTAAGGTTTCAACCCACCAGTCTAGTTTTTACTCCTTGGATTTATTTAAAGAATATTTGCAATATGATTTTATTTATCTTTACTCATTGAGTGGGGCTTTCTGTTTTTAATCTTTGTTTCTTATTTTGTATGGGTCTCAAAAATCATAAAGCCTCTTAAATAGTAGCTGGAAAAGATTATTAAAAAATGTGCCCTGCTCTCTGTTTTTTTTTTTTTTTTTTTTTTTTTTTTCAACCATTGCATATTGTTTGATGCAGAGATATAATTTTTACAAGAGGCCTGTAGTGTAAGAGAATGGGCTCCAATCTTGGCTTTTTGACTTTGTTTGGACATTAAGTTGAGGCATGATATCATGGGTGTGTCCACAGCTCTCCTCATCCTCATTAAGACAGTTGTATCACAACACTTGGTCATTCCACTGGAGAGAGGAATGGAAATGTCTACACTTTATGCATAGCTGCTAAGATAAAAGGTTGTCAACTGTTATTAATTCTTCATGTAGTTTCAAAATGATGTATGCTTTTGGTTACATGATCAAGAAATAAAATTTAATAAGTACGAATGATCTTTGTTATTATGTGCATATCTTCAGAATGATGCAGTGGTATCCTTAAATCAAGCGTTAATATTGAGTATTAAGAGTATTTTCCTATGCAACAGCCATATGTGTTGAGTAGCATAAAAGCAAGCTGTTTTTTAAAATGTGAATTTGTTATTAAGTGTGGAATAAAGGGGCAAGAAGAATTGATACCAGCATGTGTTGGTTGGTTTTCAGTGTATTGTCTAATGAACTAAATGTATTGGATTTTGATGTTATGCTGGATTAGACTTGTTACACAAAGAATTCACAGTGAGGAAAAGATTTTAAAACCTGGCGCACACTCTTTGGATTTCTCTTTTTCTTTTCTGATCAAGATGTAGCTGTTTGACCTTGGTTTGATTTGAAGCTGAATGTGAGTCTGTGTTTTTTTAAATGGGGTACTGGTAAACAAAAGGTAGTGATTAGATCTTACATGACATAAACATCCTGTACAGTGCTGAGCACCACCAGCTGGTGACAAATGGAGGGACAACCTCAGAATAACAGTATTACAGTTTGGGTTTTAGATGAACTGTTAAAGAAACTGAGATTTAATCCTGAAATGGTTAAAAAAAAACATCCACAAATATGTTTGTCAATAAGTGTTAGTGCTGAGATAATAAGCAACTTAGATTGACTTGGGTTGAGTATGATTTATGCAGATTTTATAGTAAAAGTCGAGTGAGGTGACAGAACACACTCAAAGTCCTCCAAATGTGTTTTTTTATTAGAGTTTGTATTGTTGCAGTGTTGATTATATACAGGTGTAGTCATCCTTGAAGAACATACCTTTTTTGTTAAAAGAAAAGCAAGTACAATAGGGTACCCTCAGCTAGTGAATAGATGGAAAACTACAAAAAAAAAACACTTTAATAATTGCAGCACTTAAATTCAAAGGTGTCAGAGACACTGGCAGTGCCAGTTTCAAAGTAAAATGTCTCAGCTTCTGATCTACTCTCCTGTGGCATCTGTGACCATGACACATTTTTAGGAGTCCAGTATCCGTTCATCCCCACAGAGCACAGGATGTAGCAGATCACAAATGAAAGAAGACACAGTGTAGCGGGGCTGTGCACCATGCAGTGCTGAGTGATAATAGATGAGATGTGGAGTGCCTGCCTGGGCTCTCCACCCAGGTAGAGTGTGTCCGTGCATGCGCGCGCCGCACTGTGCATTGTGTTTGATGATGGACCCCAGCTGGAGAGGTATTGACGACGCCTTATGAAACATGCTGGAGGATGATTACAATGGAGAATGATTATCACTTAGTCTCTCGTCTGTCTCCGCACGTCCCCCTCCCACTCCCTCCCCCTCTCTTCTATTTCTCGCTCCTTCTTTCTCCTCTCCCATTCAGCACGCGAGGTCAAGTGTCACTCCGTCTCCGTTGTCAAGGCTGCCAATCACCCACACAGTGAGTGCGAGGCAACTGTTGCCAAGGAAACAGAGCGATTCGGTTGCTAGGCACCTGGAGCTGTGCTCACAATAGTCATTTTGTTGCTTAGAAGCACACACACACACACACACACATACACACATGCATACACAAATACACACAAAACCACAGAAACGGCTTTGCCAAATCAACAAGTTTACACAACGTCAGTGTGAAATTCGTGTAAATTATAATTACATACTGTGCTAATAAATAAGAGATTTGCTTACGCAGTAGTAAGAAATCATGGAATAATACATGATAAGAGTGTAATTTATCATCGGCACATTTGCAAACGGATGCTAATATAATGCTGAATTTGCAATGAAATGTTGATTTTCTAATTTATAATACTTAGCAATAATGCTAATGCACCAAAAATGTAATTCAGGATGTTTTATTCCAACACCTTTGCTACCTGATTAATCAGCTCGCCCTGACGTCTAAGAACTCTTCAGACCCACACCTCAACTTGATCAATAAAAGACATAAACATCCATCATTCTGACTAAAAATAGTTACCCATAAAATCAATCAATCTCTTATTTCCCCACTGGCACATGGACTCAGTGAACCAAGCTGCAGTGTGAGTGCATTCATACATATGGGGATCAGTCTGCATGCTTGTTTTCATAAGATCCATCAATCCCATATTTCCCCACTGGCATGTAGATCATGCAAACCCTTGTGCAGTTTATATATTGTGTTTGTGTGTGTGAGTCTGCATCATGACAGCCAGTCAGCTGAGCCGAATGCTGAAATGTCAGCCACGGGTGCAAGTCTTGACATGTCCTCATGTGTTACTGTCTCCTGTTGCTGCTACAGGCATCAAACTCTCACACATTTTTAGCAAGAGCCGGGGAGTCAAAAATAGGAGTGCAACAGCAGTTGGTAGTGCAGTGGGATGATGGTTATGCACAGTTACAATGTACCATGCCATTGGCATTGCAGCCGTTTATGTCCAGGGAGCCAATTTTCACAAACTTCAAATTTCGGCTCGGTACGAGGGAAAATGTTTGGAGCAGAGTGTGAAGGGCTGTGAAAGACACTCATCAACTGATAAGATTATAGGCTCACTTGTAAGCACGACTGACTGACAAGGGTATGTAATCAAGAAGGTTTGGAATTAACGTCTGAGTCTGAAGACTTTCGTGTTAAGCTCCCTGAACTAATGCCCAGGGGTTTAGCTTAGTGGCATGGTGCAAGTCGTCCCCAGCAGCACCTCTGCGGGAGAGGCTGAACCTGGCCAGCGAAACAAACTCATTTCCTCCACAGGTGTAAAGAGTGACATGGTTGATAAACCTATGATGATAAAACCTTTTCAGTGGCTGGATTTGATTTGGCTGGCCCTGATTGCGTTCTATTTAAAAACCTTTCTGATTGAACAAAATAAGCCTTTTCCCCCCATAAAAAGTCACCTCTGGGTGCTTAATTAAAAATGTCTGTGTCACCTGCTCAGCTTGGCTATACATTTAGATGTGACTCTGCCTTTGTACTCTACTGAATAGAGTTCAGCTTTTGGTCCACTGTAGATGAGAAAGCTTCCACTCGACTACGCGTATTCTCAAGCAATAACATCCACATCTGTATTATCAACCCAAGAATACCCGTGGTCGAGACCGGAGCAAAGAGGCCCACCTCCTCCCCTCCATTCCTTTCTCTCTCTCCTCTCAGCTCTGGAGCTCATTCTCCTTTTTCTGCGCCTGCATCCCTTCGGCTCCCGCACTCTGAATAAGATTGCAGCATGGAAGGAGGAGGTCTGCGTGTGGAGGCAAATCTTTAAGGACAGCACCTAGGAGAAGAGAGACAAAGAAGATCATATTTATCCTTGAATAACAATGCAGCGGCATTGCTCAGAGGTTATAATGCACATTTCACAAGTCACATCTTGAGCTCATTGTTAGACTAATAACCAGATTGTGAGCACACACACACATTCACACACAGGCAGCCTGCTATGCATCTTTACCTGAGCTGCACCACGTAAACAGATTGCACTGCCAACAGCTAGTCCCTTTGCTCTCCCTGGTATCAAGCAACCATTTAGCCAAGCGCTGAGGGAGAGGGCAGGCTCACCAATTATCAAATAGGTGTCAGTGTGTGTTACACTGCGCTGAGGGGAGAGACTGATTACCAAACAGATGTTCAGCCCTCACCTCCATCCCCTCCTCCTCACCTCATGTCTTCCTTCATTCCATTTCCCATTCCTTTTTCCCCCATCTCTCTCCTCTCCTCACTCACTTATTGTTGGAAGGCTCCCTTGTATGCCCCCCCCTCCTCATTTCCCTCCCCCTCACACTCTTTCTCTTTTCCTTGGTCTGTCCCATGGAGAATAAGCCTGACTCTTCCCTATCCACACTTGCCAATTAGAGACACAGTAGTTGTCAATCAACAGCTGAGGAGGAGAGAACAAGAGAGGAGGAGAGTCATTGGGAAAAGGGAGGTGGGGGGTGGGGGGTTGCATCAGCACCACAGACAGCTCCCCCTGGAAAACTAAGGCTAGTTTACAAACATGACTTGACTGTCTCTCTCTTTCTTTTTCTCTCACTTCCTCTCACTTTCTCCCTTAACCTTTCCTCTCTAATCATTGTGATCCCTCTGTCGTCTCTCACCCCGTGTTTACCCCTCTTCCTCACTACTTCCCCGTCCTCAGATCTGCTGGTGCATCCTCCCGGACACATGTACACAAATCATACATCCTCCTCTGTATCCCTTCACCTATCAAAGCTGCACACCATGAAACCTGACGCTCCTGGAAAGTTCCCATTTGCCGCTGACAATCCTCTGGCCTCACTCACACCTGCGGTAGTCTACATCCTAACCCGCTGTCACAGCAAAGGAAGTGCCAAAACTAGCCGGGGAAGAAGATCTTGACACTCGTCTCCCTCATTACCTATACTCCTCTAGTCCTCTCTCCTCATCTCTCTCTCTCTCTCTCTCTCTCCTCGCCTCCGTCCTCCATCCCAACTGTCCATGTCTGGGCTGCTGATGATGACAACTCAAGTGGACGTGTCTTCTGTTCTCACCAAGAGCTGTGAAGAGATGCACGTAGGTGTCAGAGATCTGGTGTAAAAATACACCCTGCTGCTGCCCTCTTCACTACACAGGACCAGTCTGTGTCTGCTCGCTGTCACTGGAATGTCTCCGTCTAATTTGAAGACATGCTTCAGTGTAGTTTTTAGCTGTGTATGTATGTGGGGGCCAGGCTACAAGGGAAGGACTCTTACATTCAATGGGTGTGCCTGCAGAAGCAGTTTTGAATGTATGGCCCAGGCCTCTTTTTTGTCACCTCAGTTTTACCTTTCCATTCATGTAAACTGACCCCACATATTCACAGTGATACCTTTATTCCCCAATGATAGGCTATGTCGACTGGACGCGAACTTTATTTCAAAGACATCTGGTTTGCATTTGTAAGAAAATCCATTTCCTGAGTTGACTTGATTGAAAGTGAACTGGCTCCGGCTGGAGGGCCTAATGAAAGCCAATCGGTCTGTGTTTCATATTTATGTCTGACGCAACAGACTTATCAATCCTTTAATGTACCTGGTGTGTCAGATGGGATGCAGAATCACAAGTGGCTGTGCCAGAGGCAAAGACAGGACAGACTGGAGATGGAGACAGAGACTGAGCGGACGCTGGGGCTGCAGCTTGCACATTACTGCTTAATTGCTTGGAACTAAAGGCGCTGTTATGAGGATGTTTATGCTTATGCCTGCAACAGCAAATCTTTCCAGTCATTTTGGCTACACTGTGGAGTCTAATAGTCACTACCCAGACAAAAAATAAATGACCCAGTGATGGCTATTGCAACAAATTCAGCCTAGAGTGCAGAATAAAAAAAAACTACCCTCTCTTGCCTTTGGCCAAACTTTCAGTGACAACAGAGACACTTTGGTTTTCTTAATCTTTGCTGGGCCTCAATGCATAGAGGCTCCAGTTGGCCTACTAGCCCAGATAACCACACACACCACTGTAAAATCGCACATAGCCAGCACCTGTCTTCTACGTGACAGGCTTGGATATTAAGCTTTCTTTGTTTGTAAATACATCCGCTCCCACTGACAAGGAGAACCCAGTTCAGAGTGGCAAAGCGTGGATTGAATCTTTAACCCTTTGCAGGGAGTGTGGAAGAAATTTGAACCATCTTTGTCTTTTATCCAACAGGCTATACAAAGGAGGAGCTGACATGCTTGGTGGTTAAACATGAAGCAGCGTGCAGGTGCATTTCTCATCATTTGATAGGAACTTGGGGAGTGATGCTGATGGGACCAACCTGTTTAGTTATCAAATCATAAAAGCGTGCCAGCGAGGAATTGATCGGGCGTTAATCCCATGCCATGCAGTGCTACAACCCGGCTCCTTACAGCTTCAATCCACAAGTCTTGTTTTCTTCACTTCAGGGTTTTTTTTTTTTTTTTTTTACAACAGATATCTCTAAATATCAGGACAATATAAAGTGATGGGACCCCACGCAACGTAACGCGGCGCTGTGAACTGTGTCCAAATCGTATATATATTTTTTCATGGTAAATAACAGCGAGAAAAAATATTGAACTTACCGCAACGTCCACCTTTCTGCCAGCTCCCCCTGAAGAAGACGCTCCATATGCCATACATTTGTATCCATGCTGGAGTGTGAGAATAGGCTATACTGTGCAGGGAAACGCCCCCCCTCCCCTGCTATTCCTTTCTCTCCCGTGCGCTTCTCCTCCTGCTTGTGGGGAATCACATAACCACTCCTTGTTTTTTCCATTCTCTCCGAGGGAGGGATGGAGCGATGGAGCCTATGCAGCAGCATCAGCATCCCATGCAACTCAGCTGCAACCTCTCACCTCTC